ATCATGGGGCCCCTGTGTCCTTGGCCAAACTCAAAAAAGCTTATGAAAGAGGTACCAGGGGCATCTCATGGGGCCCCCTACTGACCCCGGGTCCTCGGGCAGTGCCCGAGTTTCCAAATGGTCAGTCCGCCCCTGCCCCCAAGCATAAATTTCCCCTCCTCCCCATACTCAGTGGTCATGTGATTGTTCAGTTTTCAGTGCTGGAGCCAACATGAGACAGCTGCAGCATGGAAGTAAGTATGAAGGCTTGTTTTTGGTTCAAATCCCACACTTCTCCTTTAAGATCTTTAATTTTTCAATACAGTTTTGCCCAATGTTGCCAGTATGTTAACTTTTTTTTGCCAATAGATCCATGCAGTTAGTTCTTAGCATAGTGCTCCCATCGCACAGAGAACATTGCCCTACCCTAATGATAACCCCAACACTTGTCCCACTAAACATTCCATCAACCTCTCCTGCAAATTTACTGCTCACTATTAACACTTCTCTTCTGCTAACCCTAATGCTAATCCTCCTTGTAACTTTAATGCTGAACCTAGCTCTAACCTTCCATGTAACCCTAAGGCTGCATTCACAATTGAGCCTTTTGTAGCCTGAAGAGCCAAAAAAGCTCAAACTTTAAAAATCAATTGTTCTCTATGGTGCCTGTTCACACCTGATCACACAAACAGGCACCATAGAGAACAATTGGTTTTTTTAAAGTTTGAGCGTTTTTGGAGCTTGGAGCTTATGGCTCCATGCACACTAAAAATTTTTGTTAAGCTCAAAAAATGCTGAATAAAAAATGGTGGCAATAGAGGTTTTTTATTAGTGTTTTAGAAGCATTTAGTAACATTTAGAAGCGTTTAGAAGCGTCAGCATTTTATTAGTATTTTTTCAGTACATGTAGAAAAAAAAATTAGAAAAAGGCTGTTTTAGTAGAGTTAGAAACATTTAGAAGTTTTTCAGCTCAAAAAACACTAAAGAAAACCTCCCAGATGCTGAAGCTAAAAAAATGCTAATAGCCTAAAGTAGTGTGTATGGACACATAGGATAAGATTATTTAGCTTCTAGGAGCAGAAAAAAATGCTAATCACAGCTTCTAGGAGCTTAAAAAAATGCCAGTGTGCATGGAGCCTAAGGCTGGCCATACACTATACAATTTTCTTACAATTTTCTGTCCATTTTCTTCCCAATTTCTTTTAGATTTACCTTCAACTATGTAGTGCAAGGGCCTGCCTAACTGGATACAATTGAAAGTGTAATTTAGGTTTGACCTCATATTATATGTTTTTTGGTAAATCTAAAGCAAAAATCTCAAAAAAATTGTATAGTGTATGGCCAGCCTTATTCTAAACCTAACTCTAAGGCTCCATGCACACTAGCCTTTTTTTAAGCTCCTAGAAGCTGTTATTAGCATTTTTTTTTTTATGCTCAAAGAATCTAAATAGTGTTATCCTATGTGTCTCAATGCACACTATTTTATGCTAGTAGGATTTTTCAAGCTTCAATGTCTAGGAGCAGAAAAAAAAATTGTTTTTGTAGAGTTTTTGGGAGTATTTTTCAAGCAGAAAAAAACGCTAAGGCTCCATGCACACTAGGGTTTTTTTTAAGCTCAAAAAAATTTTTATTTGCATTTCTACAGTACATGTAGAAAAAAGCTAGGAAAAAGCTGTTAGGGTTTTCGTAGTGTTTAGCAGCTTTTAGGAGTGTTTAGTGTTTTTTTTTCTGCTGGAAAAATGGTCCAAAAAACTCTACAAAAACAATTTTTTTTCTGCTCCTAGATACTGAAGCTCAAAAAATGCTAATAAGTGTGCTAATAAGTGTGCATGGACACATAGGATAACACCATTTAGCTTCTAGGAGCAGAAAACAATATGTTGATAATAGCTTCTAGGTTCTTAAATAAACACTAGTGTGCATGGAGCCTAAAACAACGCTCCTAACAGCTTTTTTCTAGTTTTTTTTCCCTACATGTACTGTAAATACGGTAATAAAATGCTAACGCTCCTAAACACTTCTAAAGTCTACTAAAATACTTCAAAATTCTACTAAAAAATGGTAATACCAGCCATTTTTATCCAGTGTTTTCCCTGGCATTTTTTTTAGCGTAGCCTCCCTAGCAGTCTGAACTGAACTTCATATTCCAGATGAGGTTTTACTAATGATTTGTACAGGGGTAATATGATATCTCTCCGGAGTCTATACCTCTTTTAACCTCCCTAGCGGTCTGATTATGTCCATATTTCTGTGCTCAAAGCGGTAAATTTTTTTGCATGGAAATATGAATTTTTTTTTATTGTAGGCCTGAAATTTTTAGGAATAACTCACTGAAATCTGTCCGAACAAGAGTCTAGTAAACATCCCGGGTATGATAAAATTTGAAACACGAAATCATAAATTATAATTTAATAAATAATCATAAAAAATAATTATTTAATAATAATAAATTTAATTCAATAATATAATGAAACCAAAAACACTGAAATTTGAAATATAGCTCCAAGTTCGCACATCACTGAGCAAAGTCGCAAAATCGTTTTCAGTGTCTGATGATGAATTTCCCCACGAATCATTATCACTCAATTCTGCAAGTGGTTCTGATTTACTATCGCTGTTCTCTAGCTGGTCTACAATCGCTTTTGACCTGAAGGGACGCTTTTTAGACGCCATGGACGTTTCTCAGTTTCCAGGCAGAAAGAACAGTAAAAATGCAGGCAGGGCACAGGAAAAAGCACTCGGGACAAAATGTATGTGAAATGGTTTGATACAGTAATGTTTTACTATGAGATTTTAGTGTATTTAGTGAATGTCACTTTTTCACATTTTAAATTTCCCGCCGGTTCCGTCCCCGTACGTCCCGACGTCGCAGGGAACGGAACCCAGAAGACAGATGCCAGCTTCGGCCGGAGGACATTGCTGGGGACACTGCAGGAGGGACATCACGGGAGCACAGGACAAGGTAAATGAAGAAGAGATCCAGGAGCAATGCTGCAAGGTATTCCCGAGTGTAGCTCGGGGTTACCCCTTGTGGTGCTGAAACTTTACCCCGGCTACACTCGGGAATACTGCCAGGGAGGTTAACAAATAAACGCTAGTGTGCATGGAGTCTTACCCGCCTGTAACCATAACAGGTACCTTAGCACTACCTCTGCTTTACGTGAAAGTAACCATTTCTTTTCATACTTACTCATATCTCCTGTGCCTGAAGCCAGTCTGCTGAAGAAAAGCCTCATGTGCCAAAAGAGACATTCACTTACACACATACAGTTTAATTGAGCCTTAAAGTGGTACTAAACCCAGGACCCTGCATTCACTATATCTGATCTCCCACAGTACACTGAACATGGAAATTAAATTATTTTAGTAAATATAAACTGCTAAATACCTTTTTTCCCATCAGCAGTTAAAGCAGTCTTGGGACTTCTTTCAGTGTCCAGCAGAGCACATGTTAAAGCTTGTAGGAGGAATTGTCATTCTCCTCTCACTGTTCTATCAGATTGCATAACCCCTGACCTTCTGTCTGGACAGTGCTGATTTGCCCTGTGCTGATCACATGCACCCTTCCAAAACAAAAAAAAGAACTCTCTAGCAATACACACCAAATTGAGCATGTTCAGAGTGTCCCCAAGGCTGTGTTCTATCAGGAGATGAAATGGGGACTGTGGAAGAAGGGGAGGATCACAGAAGACAGAATCAAATATCTTTTTTACACAATGCAGAGGATTAACCCCTTAGGTTCCACAGTGGGTATACCTAGCATGATTTACTGCATATACAGACTGATTTTACAGTTGTGAGTTTCGTAAGATTCGAGTCGAATATATTCGCTGTGAATTTAACTTAAAAAAGGGTGTTTCTAGGCTTCAGAGAGACTTAATATTAGTGCTGAACACTGTACCTTTAATTTAAATGCCCTTGGAGTCTGCTGGGGAAGAGAAATAATACTGTCAGGCAGTATGACATGCAGATGAGTGCCGTCGATCTTAGAATCACCGCACACTTCACTCATTTGGCCAGTCACGGGGCCAAAACCAGAGTGTGGAGCCACAGTGTGGCGGTGGAGGCAGCAGCAATGGAGGCCATGCAGCACCCTATGACAAAAATGGAAACCACCAGCAGTGTGAGGAGACCTGAAAGTGGCACATGGCAGAGTGTGGCGATAGAGACAGCAGCAATGGGAGGCCGTACAGGGACCCATGACACACTCTGGACCTGGCAGCAGCATGAGGAGGCGGTACAGGGGCCCATGGCAGATTACGGGCCTGGCAGCAGCATGAGGAGTCGGTAGGGGGCCCATGGCAGATTACAGGCCTGGCAGCAGCAATGGGAGGCCGTACAGGGACCCATGACACAATCTGGACCTGGCAGCAGCATGGGGAGGCGGTACAGGGGCCCATGACAGATTACGGGCCTGGCAGCAGCATTTGGAGTCGGTACGGGGGCCCATGACACACTCTGGACCTGTCTGGCAGCAGCATGAGGAGGCGGTACAGGGGCGCATGACAGATTACGAGCCTGGCAGCAGCAACTTGGACAGGAGGACGTTCAGTTTCTGCACCGTCTGGTGCGTGCTCGCAAACTGTTGTCTCTTGGAAACGGATTCCAAGAAAGACTGCTGACGGAATCCGTGAAGAGGAGTAGCAGGAGAAGGAGCATCTGAACGAGCGGAATATGCCAACAAGCGACAACAGGGGCCCATGACAGATTACGGGCCTGGCAGCAGCATGAGGAGTCGGTACGGGGGCCCATGGCAGATTAGGGGCCTGGCAGCAGCTATGGGAGGCCCGTAATCTGCCAGCACCCTATGACAAAAAATGGAACCCACCAGCAGTGTGAGGAGACCTGAAAGTGGCACATGGCAGAGTGTGGCGATGGAGACAGCAGCAATGGGAGGCCGTACAGGGACCCATGAGAGACTCTGGACCTGGCAGCAGCATGAGGAGGCGGTATAGGGGCCCATGGCAGATTAGGGGCCTGGCAGCAGCTATGGGAGGCCCGTAATCTGCCAGCACCCTATGACAAAAAATGGAATACACCAGCAGTGTGAGGAGACCTGAAAGTGGCACATGGCAGAGTGTGGCGATGGAGACAGCAGCAATGGGAGGCCGTACAGGGACCCATGAGAGACTCTGGACTTGGCAGCAGCATGAGGAGGCGGTATATAGGGGCCCATGGCAGATTAGGGGCCTGGCAGCAGCTATGGGAGGCCCGTAATCTGCCAGCACCCTATGACAAAAAATGGAACACACCAGCAGTGTGAGGAGACCTGAAAGTGGCACATGTTTGGGGCATGATTCATGGCGGATTTAGTCAGTTGTGTCAGGAACTGGTGGTTTGAAATCCAGACTAATCCACGCCTGATTCATTTTCACAAACGTCAGTCTCTCCACACTTTGGGTGGACAGTCGTGTCCTCCGCGGAGTTGCAATACCTCCTGCCGCACTAAACACGCGCTCCGATGCCACGCTACTGGCCGGGCATGACAGCCTTTCAAGGGCAAATTCAGCTAGTTGGGGCCAAAGGTCAAGTTTCGTTGCCCAGTAGTCAAGGGGATTGTCTACCTCGGTTGGCAGGGTGCTGTCCAATAGGCCTAAGCCTGTTGTTTGAGGTCCTGCTCCAGGTCCACCTGATGCTGCTGCTGCTGCTGCTGCTGCGGCTGGTTAGTAGTTTCCTCACTGCGCTGGTGAAGAAAGCTACTCATCATCGACTGCAGACTGAGGCAGCCGCTGCTGGTGGAGCTGCCACTGCTCCTACCACCCCCCCCCTCCCCTGCTGCCATGGCAGCGGAACGCGAGACGCGCACAGGGCCCACAGTGTCTGAGGATGGACGTTGGCGCAGACAGGCAGAGACCAGCTGACTACATAGGTGGTTTTTATAGTACGTTATTTTGGCCTCCCTCTCAGCAGGTGTGAAAAAGGCCACCATTTTGGAACGGTAGCGAGGGGTCCAACAAGGTGGACAGCCAAAAGTCATCCCTCTGTCTGATGGTTATTATTCGGCTGTCGCTACGCAAGCAACGAGCATGCTATGGGCCATTTGTGCCAAGGAATGCGAGGGACTCTCCTGCCTCCATCTCACAGCATACTGCCACGGTGCGTCTGGGTCCTCTGTCTCCTCCTCCTCCTCCTCCTCTACCAGATGCTCCTGTCTCCTCCACTCCTGTCCGCTGAGTGGAAAAACCACCCATTTCACTCAATAATTCCTGAGCACCAATGTCCTCCTCTACCTCCTCCTCTTCTTCCTGTCCTGCCCCCACAGGGGTCATGTGGCGTTGAGATCTGTGCGCCACGTCTACCGCACCCTGACCAGCCATTGTTAACAGCATTTGTTCCAGGACGTGCAACAGAGGAATGACGTCGTTCATCCCATAGTCCTGCCGACTCACGAATAGCGTGGCCTCCTCAAAGGGCCTGAGCAAGCGCAGGTGTCACGCATGAGCTGCCAATGGCTGACATCTAAGTTACACAGGGAGTACCTTTATCCGCTTTTAACATCAGGAAATCTGTGATGGCCTTTTGCTGTTCGTAAAGGCGGTCTAACATATGTAGGGTTGAATTCCACCTTGTTGCAACGTCACAGCATGAGGAGTCGGTATAGGGGCCCCATGGCAGATTAGGGGCCTGGCAGCAGCAATGGGAGGCCCGTAATCTGCCAGCACCCTATGTCAAAAAATTCTACACACCAGCAGTGTGAGAGGAGACCTGAAAGTGGCACATGGCAGAGTGTGGCGATGGAGACAGCAGCAATGGGAGGCCGTACAGGGACCCATGACACACTCTGGACTGGCAGCAGCATGAGGAGGCGGTATATAGGGGCCTATGGCAGATTAGGGGCCTGGCAGCAGCTATGGGAGGCCCGTAATCTGCCAGCACCCTATGTCAAAAAATTCTACACACCAGCAGTGTGTGAGGAGACCTGAAAGTGGCACATGGCAGAGTGTGGCGATGGAGACAGCAGCAATGGGAGGCCGTACAGGGACCCATGAGAGACTCTGGACCTGGCAGCAGCATGAGGAGGCGGTATAGGGGCCCTATGGCAGATTAGGGGCCTGGCAGCAGCTATGGGAGGCCCGTAATCTGCCAGCACCCTATGTCAAAAAATTCTACACACCAGCAGTGTGTGAGGAGACCTGAAAGTGGCACATGGCAGAGTGTGGCGATGGAGACAGCAGCAATGGGAGGCCGTACAGGGACCCATGACAGACTCTGGACCTGGCAGCAGCATGAGGAGGCGGTATATAGGGGCCTATGGCAGATTAGGGGCCTGGCAGCAGCTATGGGAGGCCCGTAATCTGCCAGCACCCTATGTCAAAAAATTCTACACACCAGCAGTGTGAGGAGACCTGAAAGTGGCACATGGCAGAGTGTGGCGATGGAGACAGCAGCAATGGGAGGCTACAGGACCCATGAGCAGCATGAGGAGGCGGTATATAGGGGCCTATGGCAGATTAGGGGCCTGGCAGCAGCTATGGGAGGCCCATAATCTGCCAGCACCCTATGTCAAAAAATTCAACACACCAGCAGTGTGAGGAGACCTGAAAGTGGCACATGGCAGAGTGTGGCGATGGAGACAGCAGCAATGGGAGGCGCCGTACAGGGACCCATGAGAGACTCTGGACCTGGCAGCAGCATGAGGAGGCGGTATATAGGGGCCTATGGCAGATTAGGGGCCTGGCAGCAGCTATGGGAGGCCCGTAATCTGCCAGCACCCTATGTCAAAAAATTCTACACACCAGCAGTGTGAGGAGACCTGAAAGTGGCACATGGCATGAGTGTGGCGATGGACCTGGCAGCAGCATGGGAGGCCGTACAGGGACCCATGAGAGACTCTGGACCTGGCAGCTGCATGCAGCAGTATATAGGGGCCTATGGCAGGGGCCTGGCAGCAGTATGGGAGGCCCTAATCTGCCAGCACCCTATGTCAAAAAATTCTACACACACCAGCAGTGTGTGAGGAGACCTGAAAGTGGCACATGGCAGAGTGTGGCGATGGAGACAGCAGCAATGGGAGGCCGTACAGGGACCCATGAGAGACTGACTGGGACCTGGCAGCAGCATGATGAGGAGGCGGTATATAGGGGCCTATGGCAGATTAGGGGCCCTGGCAGCAGCTATGGGAGGGCCCGTAATCTGCCAGCACCCTATGTCAAAAAATTCTACACACCAGCAGTGTGTGAGGAGACCTGAAAGTGGCACATGGCAGAGTGTGGCGATGGAGACAGCAGCAATGGGAGGCCGTACAGGGACCCATGAGAGACTCTGGACCTGGCAGCAGCATGAGGAGGCGGTATATAGGGGCCTATGGCAGATTAGGGGCCTGGCAGCAGCTATGGGAGGCCCGTAATCTGCCAGCACCCTATGTCAAAAAATTCTACACACCAGCAGTGTGTGAGGAGACCTGAAAGTGGCACATGGCAGAGTGTGGCGATGGAGACAGCAGCAATGGGAGGCCGTACAGGGACCCATGAGAGACTCTGGACCTGGCAGCAGCATGAGGAGGCGGTATATAGGGGCCTATGGCAGATTAGGGGCCTGGCAGCAGCTATGGGAGGCCCGTAATCTGCCAGCACCCTATGTCAAAAAATTCAACACACCAGCAGTGTGTGAGGAGACCTGAAAGTGGCACATGGCAGAGTGTGGCGATGGAGACAGCAGCAATGGGAGGCCGTACAGGGACCCATGAGAGACTCTGGACCTGGCAGCAGCATGAGGAGGCGGTATATAGGGGCCTATGGCAGATTAGGGGCCTGGCAGCAGCTATGGGAGGCCCGTAATCTGCCAGCACCCTATGTCAAAAATTCTACACACCAGCAGTGTGTGAGGAGACCTGAAAGTGGCACATGGCAGAGTGTGGCGATGGAGACAGCAGCAATGGGAGGCCGTACAGGGACCCATGAGAGACTCTGGACCTGGCAGCAGCATGAGGAGGCGGTATATAGGGGCCTATGGCAGATTAGGGGCCTGGCAGCAGCTATGGAGGGCCCGTAATCTGCCAGCACCCTATGTCAAAAAATTCTACACACCAGCAGTGTGTGAGGAGACCTGAAAGTGGCACATGGCAGAGTGTGGCGATGGAGACAGCAGCAATGGGAGGCCGTACAGGGACCCATGAGAGACTCTGGACCTGGCAGCAGCATTGAGCCTGAGGAGGAGGCGGTATATAGGGGCCCCATGGCAGATTAGGGGCCTGGCAGCAGCTATGGGAGGCCCGTAATCTGCCAGCACCCTATGTCAAAAAAATTCTACACACCAGCAGTGTGTGAGGAGACCTGAAAGTGGCACATGGCAGAGAGTGTGGCGATGGAGACAGCAGCAATGGGAGGCCGTACAGGGACCCATGAGAGACTCTGGGTTCCTGGCAGCAGCATGAGGAGGCGGTATATAGGGGCCCATGGCAGATTAGGGGCCTGGCAGCAGCTATGGGAGGCCCGTAATCTGCCAGCACCCTATGTCAAAAAAATTCTACACACCAGCAGTGTGTGAGGAGACCTGAAAGTGGCACATGGCAGAGTGTGGCGATGGAGACAGCAGCAATGGGAGGCCGTACAGGGACCCATGAGAGAGACTCTGGACCTGGCAGCAGCAGCATGAGGAGGCGGTATATAGGGGCCTATGGCAGATTAGGGGCCTGGCAGCAGCTATAGGAGGCCCGTAATCTGCCCAGCACCCTATGTCAAAAAATTCTACACACCAGCAGTGTGTGAGGAGACCTGAAAAGTGGCACATGGCAGAGTGTGGCGATGGAGACAGCAGCAATGGGAGGCCGTACAGGGACCCATGAGAGACTCTGGACCTGGCAGCAGCATGAGGAGGCGGTATATAGGGGCCTATGGCAGATTAGGGGCCTGGCAGCAGCTATGGGAGGGGCCCGTAATCTGCCAGCACCCTATGTCAAAAAAATTCAACACACCAGCAGTGTGTGAGGAGACCTGAAAGTGGCACATGGCAGAGTGTGGCGATGGAGACAGCAGCAATGGGAGGTCTCCCATTGTCCCAACATGGCCCAAATAGTCCCAACATGGGCCCCCTGGCCCACGCTTGACTTTCTGGCCACATAGTCGACATACGGCTACGTTTACTTCCTCGGGCGGCTTGACGAAAAATTGCCACACACCGCCGAGTAGGAAACTTTGCCCCCGATACTCCTCACTGGCTGACTGCTGCTTCCTCCGTGCACACCGGCACCACTACTGGCCGTGGTGGTAGGCTGCAGTGGAGCTGGTGCTCTACTCCGTGGCCGTTTGGCTCCACTGACACTGCTTCCACTGACACTGCTGCGACCCTGCTGCTGTCTCTGGGCAACCCACCGACTGTTTTGCTCACTGCCAAGCTGCCACCCTCTTCTCCTGATGATGCGGAAGAAATTGCCTGATGACGACGAGGCTGCCAAGTGCGATCAACCTCCTCATCATCAAGTAGGGTCTCCGCCTCACTACTAGCCCCCTCGGCTGCGTCTGGGTCAGGAGACAGACCTGTCTCTAGACCGGCTACCGGGCCACTCTCCTCGCCACTACTTCTTCGCCTAGCTGCTGAAAAGGCGGATGTCTCCCCCCGTTCCTGACCGCCCTCTGTTAGCTCTTCCTCACTGTACAGTGGGGCTGAGCCCACAGCATGCGATACTTCGCTTGGTGAGGGAAAACCAAAGGACAGGGGCAGGTAGAGGACACGTGATTTCAGTGGGCTTGGTCCCGGGCCATGCCAACTAACGGTTGTGTCTGACGTACCCACCGACCGTTGGCTGTAGGTGTCAGAGGTGACCTGGGAAGAGGAAGACGACCGAGCCAACCAATCGATGACGGCAGGGTTGTCGGTGGAGACACGACCGCTGGATGACACCGGGAGCACTGGCCTCTGGCTGCGAATAGTGCTGCCTCGACCCCTTCCTCTGCTGCCACGTCTGCTCGCTCCTAAAACATTGCCTCCTCTGCCACTCCTCTGCATGTGTCTGACATACTCTTTAATTAAACGATTATGTGTCCCTGAGTAACAATTCTGTGTCCCTGAGTAACAATTCTGTGTCTGTGCGAGTAACAATTCTGTGGCCCTAAGTAACAGTTCTGTGGCCCTCAGTAACAATTCTGTGTCCTGATTAAACGTTTCTGTGGCCCCAAGTAACAGTTCTGTGGCCCTCTGTCAGTAACAATTCTGTGTCTGTGCGAGTAAACAATTCTGTGTCTGTGCGAGAAACAATTCTGTGGCCCTAAGTAACAGTTCTGTGGCCCTCAGTAACAGTTCTGTTTCCCTGAGTAACAATTCTGTGTCTGTGCGAGTAAGAATTCTGTGTCTGTGCGAGTAACAATTCTGTGGCCCTAAGTAACAGTTCTGTGGCCCTCAGTAACAGTTCTGTGTCCCTGAGTAACAATTCTGTGTCTGTGTCTGTGCGAGTAACAATTCTGTGTCTGTGCGAGTAACAATTCTGTCTGTGCGAGTAACAATTCTGTGGCCCTAAGTAACGGTTCTGTGGCCCTCAGTAACAGTTCTGTGTCCCTGTGTAACAATTCTGTGTCTGTGCGAGTAACAATTCTGTGGCCCTAAGTAACAGTTCTGTGGCCCTCAGTAACAATTCTGTGTCCCTGATTAACGTTTCTGTGGCCCCAAGTAACAGTTCTGTGGCCCTCAGTAACAATTCTGTGTCTGTGCGAGTAACAATTCTGTGTCTGTGCGAGTAACAATTCTGTGTCTGTGCGAGTAACAATTCTGTGGCCCTAAGTAACGGTTCTGTGGCCCTCAGTAACAGTTCTGTGTCCCTGTGTAACAATTCTGTGTCTGTGCGAGTAACAATTCTGTGGCCCTAAGTAACAGTTCTGTGGTCCTCAGTAACAATTCTGTGTCTGTGCGAGTAACAATTCTGTGGCCCTAAGTAACAGTTCTGTGGCCCTCTCAGTAACAATTCTGTGTCTGTCCCTGAGTAACAATTCTGTGGCCCTAACTAAAGTTTCTGTGGCCCTAAGTAACAATTCTCTGGCACTCAGTAACAATTCTGTCTGTCCCTGAGTAACAATTCTGTGGCCCTAATAACGTTTCTGTGGCCCTAAGTAACAATTATCTGGCACTCAGTAACAATTCTGTCTGTCCCTGAGTAACAATTCTCTGGCACTCAGTAACAATTCTGTCTGTCCCTGAGTAAAAATTCTGTGGCCCTAAGTAAAGTTTCTGTGGCCCTGAGTAACAATTCTCTGGCACTCCGTAACAATTCTGTCTGTCCCTGAGTAACAATTCTCTGGCACTCAGTAACAATTCTGTCTGTCCCTGAGTAAAAATTCTGTGGCCCTAAGTAAAGTTTCTGTGGCCCTGAGTAACAATTCTCTGGCACTCCGTAACAATTCTGTCTGTCCCTGAGTAACAATTCTCTGGCACTCAGTAACAATTCTGTCTGTCCCTGAGTAAAAATTCTGTGGCCCTAATTAAAGTTTCTGTGGCCCTAAGTAACAATTCTCTGGCACTCAGTAACAATTCTGTCTGTCCCTGAGTAACAATTCTCTGGCACTCCGTAACAATTCTGTCTGTCCCTGAGTAACAATTCTCTGGCACTCAGTAACAATTCTGTCTGTCCCTGAGTAAAAATTCTGTGGCCCTAAGTAAAGTTTCTGTGGCCCTGAGTAACAATTCTCTGGCACTCCGTAACAATTCTGTCTGTCCCTGAGTATGAATTCTGTGGGCCCTAACTAGCGTTTCTTTGTCCCTAAGTAACAGTTCTGTGGCCTGAGTAACAATTCTGTGTCTGTGCCTGAGTAACAATTCTGTGGCCCTAAGTAACAGTTTCTGTGGCCCTCAGTAACAGTTCTGTGTCTGTGCGTCTGTAAACAATTCTGTGTCTGTGCGAGTAACAATTCTGTGGCCCTAAGTAAAGTTTCTGTGGCCCTCAGTAACAGTTCTGTGTCTGTGCGAGTAACAATTCTGTGTCTGTGCGAGTAACAAATTCTGTGGCCCTAAGTAAAGTTTCTGTGGCCCTAAGTAACAATTCTCTGGCACTCAGTAACAATTCTGTCTGTCCCTGAGTAACAATTCTCTGGCACTCAGTAACAATTCTGTCTGTCCCTGAGTAAAAAATTCTGTGGCCCTAAGTAAAGTTTCTGTGGCCCTGAGTAACAATTTCTCTGGCACTCCGTAACAATTCTGTCTGTCCCTGAGTAACAATTCTCTGGCACTCAGTAACAATTCTGTCTGTCCCTGAGTAAAAATTCTGTGGCCCTAAGTAAAGTTTCTGTGGCCCTAGTAACAATTCTCTGGCACTCCGTAACAATTCTGTCTGTCCCTGAGTAACAATTCTGTGGCCCTAACTAGCGTTTCTTTGGCCCTAAGTAACAGTTCTGTGGTGCCCTGAGTAACAATTCTGTGTCTGTGCGAGTAACAATTCTGTGGCCCTAAGTAACAGTTCTGTGGCCTCAGTAACAATTCTGTGTCTGTCGAGTAACAATTCTGTGTCTGTGCGAGTAACAATTCTGTGGCCCTAAGTAACCTGTGGCTAGTAACAATTCTGTAAGTAAGTAACAATTCTGTGGTGCCCTAAGTAAAGTAACAAATTCTCTGGCACTCAGTAACAATTCTGTCTGTCCCTGAGTAACAATTCTCTGGCACTCAGTAACAATTCTGTCTGTCCCTGAGTAAAATTCTGTGGCCCTAAGTAAAGTTTCTGTGGCCCTGAGTAACAATTCTCTGGCACTCAGTAACAATTCTGTCTGTCCCTGAGTAACAATTCTCTGGCACTCAGTAACAATTCTGTCTGTCCCTGAGTAAAAATTCTGTGGCCCTAAGTAAAGTTTCTGTGGCCCTAAGTAACAATTCTCTGGCACTCAGTAACAATTCTGTCTGTCCCTGAGTAACAATTCTCTGGCACTCAGTAACAATTCTGTGTCCCTGAGTAAAAATTCTGTGGCCCTAATTAAAGTTTCTGTGGCCCTAAGTAACAATTCTCTGGCACTCAGTAACAATTCTGTCTGTCCCTGAGTAACAATTCTCTGGCACTCAGTAACAATTCTGTCTGTCCCTGAGTAAAAATTCTGTGGCCCTAATAACGTTTCTGTGGCCCTAAGTAACAATTCTCTGGCACTGAGTAACAATTCTGTCTGTCCCTGATTATGAATTCTGTGGCCCTAACTAGCGTTTCTTTGTCCCTAAATAACGATTCTGTGGCCCTCATTAACAAGTCTGTGTCCCTGAGTAATGGTTCTCTGTCCCTAAGTAACTTTTCTCTGTCCCCAATTATCGTTTCTGTGGCCCTAACTCTGTCCCTGTCCCTAGTACAGAGCGGTCTGCCTCTGTTCAATAACTGCAGGCAAATGAAGAATTCCAAAATGGCCGCTATTTATAGCTCGACCATTACACAGTGCTGGCTGGCTGGCTGCTGATTGGCTGATGCGATCACATGTAGTTGAGGAATGCATTATGGGTCAGCGCGCCTTGTCTGCGCGCCTTCCCAGACATCCCCGCTCCGTCGCCGCACATGTCAGCCGCCATTTTCTGAAAAATTTCGATTCGCGCGTCCGAATTAGGCTATTTTTCGGATTCGGCACGAATCGAAATTTTTCCGATATTCGACTCGAATTCCACTTCGCATCAGGAGTTCCCAGGTATTCAGGCAGTCTGCCGGAGAGGAAGAGGAAAGAGGGGTACCAGAAGACAGTATAATAACAAATAATTGTGCTCTATATACTGCTGGCTATAAAAGCCGCAAGAGTCCTGTGAATCACAAGAACGGCTTACCATCGCATTGCAGGGTGTATTTGTCGGGGGGGGGTCCATCTCTATAAACAGAATTTTGCTAAGTTTTCCTTTTTACATTCAAGTGTCCTCCTTACATTTCCTCCT